TAATAATAATATATATATATATATATATATATATATATATATATATATATATATCGATAATATTGAAAGATTACTGAAATAATAATGAAAAATGATTTTATTATTCATCATCAAAATTTATAATAAATTAATTTATCATAATCTGAGTCACCGAAATTTATTGTAGAAATATAAAAAAATATAAAATAAAAACAGCTATATAACTGAATATTTAACAAAAATAATATAAATTGTTGAGATTAAAAATGTACAATTTTGACTTATGGATTAGTTTTATAATCAATAATTCTCAATTTAGTTTAAATATATATATTTTTTTAATTTTACTTATATTTTTTTTAATAAATTCATCATATTTTTTGTAAATAATTTTATTTAATTTTTTTGAATTAAAATGAAATGTGGATTTTAAAATTTTAGAACTTTATTATTCCATGATTTATAAAAGAAAAAATTAGAAACAGTATTATAGGATATTTTATCGATATCGCTTAATATTACTTTTGTTAAAAATAAACATTTATGTTTATTTCATTTTTATTTTTTAGCATAGTATAATATAATTTAATATTTTTCTTTCTTTTTTATTTCTGTAGAATTTTTTTTTAAATGTTTTATTTTTCATTGTTATTATAATAATCTCAAATAACAATGAAAAGAAAGTTTATAAGCCAATTATTATACGCACTTGGTTTTCTTTTAAATAATAATTAATAAGTAGTAATTCATGAATTATTGTGTATTTTTATTGAATATTATTGAATATTTTATTTCATGCACTTTTGCTTATCATGAAGAAAGACTATGTTTTGCAAAAAAAATTTTTCACAAAAGTCATTATAATTGATGAAAAACTTGATCCGATATTATATACAATAAAATAATAAAATTGGTTTTAGTTATTTTGAAAAAAAAAATTAATAAAAGTATTATATTTATTTCTCTAAATAAATTCTAATACAATAATCTAAATTTTATGAATATAATATAGATTTTTCATTTATTAACAAATCGTTTTATTTATAGCTTCTAACTTTGTTTATTTACTTTTTTAATCTTTTTGATAAGAATTACAGAAAAGTCAAAAAATTTAGCATCACAAATTTGAAAATTGAAAATTCTCTTCGAAATTAAAAAAAAAATAATAATAAATATTTTAAATTAATAAATAAATTAATAATTCAAATTTATTTTAATAATTAATTTTAAAATTAGTAGTATTAACAGGCAAAATATATAAATATCTTATAGTTCCCAATAGGATGCTTTGTAGATACAATTGCAGATCTTTTTGCAAAAAAAAAAATTTTCTAATCATTTCTTAATTAATTCTATATTTTTGAAATATTATATTTGTAATATTTGTAATCACGTTTGCTATCTTCCAAAATTTTTAGCGACTATTATATTCTTTAATGGCTTAAATATTATGCTATATATGACAAATAAATTCGAATCTGATTTAAAAATTTTTTACAAAAATTGTTTAATTTAATGAGAAATTATTCAAAATTAATGAATTCCATTCCTAATTTTTTATCTTTTCTGTAATAAATGCTAGTAAAAAACTTAATTTGAAAAAAATTACTATCTTTCCATCTAGTTTCATGCAGTTTCTTATAACCATTAATTGCATTTCCAATTTTCTCTTTACTCTAATAAAGATAATATTTTTCAAAATCTCGCTAAGCATAGCCATCAGATCGTATACAAACCAAAGATTCCCTTCCGGTTCCAGGTTAAGAAAGCGTGCACAGTTAGCATAACTATGAATCATATTAGCCTCCTTTCTTTCTCTCTCTTTTTCTGTCTCTTTTTTCTTCGATATTTCAGAGAAAGATATTTCCCTATTTTTGATATCTCATCAGAGAAAGTTTCGATTTCCATCGATCAACGTATGTCCGACAATTGATGAGAAAATATCAAAATTCATCATGTAAAACATTTACGTGTTAAAAATGTTTAATCGATTAGAGAATGATAGTTTAGCATTACTTTGCGACTGATGCAATTGAAAAGAGAGAAAGACGATATATTATTTTTAACGATATGTTATTGATTAATTTTTTATTTTTAGTAAAATTTTATAAATATGTAAAATATGAATTATAGAATATGCTTAATTTATTATGATTGATCAAATATCTCAAAAAATAGAAATAACAAAAGTTGTTTGATATAAAGAGATACAAGTAATATTAATAATTTCTTTATAGATTATTATGAAATCATATTGAAGATCAATTTTTATTGCATTAAGAAGAATTGATGCAATTCATTATTTTTTCAAAAAAGTATTAAACTGTTTTTATGTATTGTTATTAACTATTATTATGTATTAAAAATCTTTAGAAGATAAATTCTATTTATTGTAACTTGAAATTCATAAATTTTATCATATGAATGACAAGAAGAACATTGAGAAAAATAGAATATTGTTTTTTATTTTTCATAATATTTTCATGAGTTTTTGTACTTCAAAATATATCTCTTAAATTAAAGATTTTTTCAACATTAAAAAAAAAAAAATGATTTAATATATTTTTCTAAGAAATAATGAACAGTTAATAATTAAAAATTATATAATTCCATCTGAAAAATTAAATTAATTTTTATATAATTTATGCATTTAATTATGAAATATTTTTCAACTATGAAAAAATAATTAATATTATGCACAATTTGTTTTTTTATAAACATTTTTATTTAAAATATTGTTTAGATTTAGATTTTTTTATTTTTGAAATTTTTTTTTATCATTTATATTTTTTAAAATATTTGAAAAAATCAGTAAATCGTGTGCATAGAACAATTATTTTTTTTTATTAAAATATCATTTTAAGAAATAAAAATAACCTTAAAAATTAACTTTGAAAATATTTTTTGTTTTTTCAATATAATATGAAATATTATTACATAATGATACCAGTTAGAAAATTTTTAAAAATTACGAATTATTTTATTAAATCTTATTAAAAATATTTCTAAGTAAAATTGTAAAATATAAAAACATTTTGAATCTTTGGAAATTGATTTTATTTTCTTAATATAATATTTCACAAAAAAATTATTTTATATATAACTCACTATATTTTACATATTAAATTGCATTAAACGATGATTTTAATAACATAATTTGTTATTTAAACTTATATTATGAAATCATTTGTAAGATTATATATTTTACATTTGTGTTGCATATATTTGAAATTGATTAAAAAATTATGTATAAATATAAATTCTTTTAATTTATCATATTTATTCTACGTTGATATAAATAAATATTATTTTTATAATTTTTATTTTCACTTTTAATTTTCATTGCATGAAATTATTGCATGACATTATTTCATGTGTTTCGTAATTGTTAGTGTCTCCGTGATCGATCCCGTAGATCTTTCAGAGTTGGCTGATTTTGCATATATATTATTGCCGATTAAGATTTTTTAATAAATAATTCAAAAAATTACTTCAAATTGACGAAATAAAAATAAATGAATTCACTAAGTAAGATTATTGTACAAAAGTTTATTACT